CCCGGGATTCACCTTGCAGGCAGCGTCGCAGGCGGCCACGTCCTGCTCGCCACTGGCCCCTCTCGCCACCAGCTCCTCGTTCGTTACTTTGAAGGAGCGAACCGTTTCCTGCAGCGACTGCCGCACCTCGGGGAAAGCAAGAGCTGCGTCGTGGCACCAAGCACCCCGAGCCGGCAGCACCGCGCACCCACGCAACCCGGCTCCACAGGGGCTGCGGGAGGGAGCGGAGACGGGAAGGGCAGAAGCAGTGAGGACCTGCAGGAGGGGCCAGGCTGTGGGGACTGAGCCGCAGGAGCTGTGCTGCTCCTCTGGGGACCCTGAGCCACGGCCAGCGCGACCGCCCGGCTCGTCACAGCGCCAGAGCAGCGACGCCTAATGGTGGCCGACTCCGGAATAGCCGAGTCCCGACGCAGCACATCGAGGGAAAGGGGCTCTCCTCTCCATCCATGAGCAAATAAAGGCCCTGCCCGCAGGCAGGTGCTGCCTGTTCCCAGCACACAGCGCTGGCTTGCAAGCCTGGCAGGAACACGCCAGGATGCGGCTGAGCTGCTGGCACACTGGCGCGGCAACGGGCGGGCACACACAGCTCCTGTGGGGATGCTGCTCGTGCGGGGACCTCCCGCAGCAGCACAGGTACGCCGGCTCCCCCCCACCTAACCCTTCCTTTCCACAGCTCCTACCTTCTTGCTGCTGCTGTCCCAGGACTCCAGCAGATGGTTGAGGAGCAAACTATGGGGGGAAGAGAACACAGGAGCTGTTTAACACACTCTGGAACGCTATGCTGCTCTCACCACCCACCCCCAGCTTCCCAGTGGAAACCAGTGTCATCTGCCGAGCAGCTGGGAGGATGGACAAGGGCCAGCACCATCTGTCCCCAGCATGTCCTGCAGATGCATCGCTGCGGGGCTCCCGGCCCGGCGCGTGCCGGCAGCGGGAGAGGCTGACCACAACCCCAGCACGGAGCTGAAATCCGTCCGCCGGCTGACACCGGGCACCACCCCTCCCGTACCTGCCCGGGATTCACCTTGCAGGCAGCGTCGCAGGCGGCCACGTCCTGCTCGCCACTGGCCCCTCTCGCCACCAGCTCCTCGGTCGTTACTTTGAAGGAGCGA